GCACAATGGCCTTCATACTACATTTAGAAGTTCTTCTTCATCCCACCACGTGGGGACAAATCTCTCAGGCCTGTGTCCTTCCCCCAAGGTAGCTTCTCTCCTAGGAGACCCCCTGCAAACAAACATCAGTTGGGCTGAGCGTGGTGCTGCATGCCCGTAATACCAAAATAAGAGAATCCCAAGTTCAAAACCAGCCTCAGCAACTTAGTGAGGTCTTGTCTCAAAATAAAAAGGGCCGAGGATATAGCTCAGTGGTAAAGCACCCCTGGTTCAATCCCTAGAAACAAATATCAGGCAAGATACCACAGCTCTTTCCTCCACATACCCAGCCACGCTTGACTCCCAGAAGATGGAGCTTAGGCGCAAGTAGATCTCCCTGCTGCAAATGATAACCAGGCAGAATTCCATCTGGTTCAAAGAGGGGCTTTAAAGACAGAGTAGCATTGAGTCTGGATTTTCAAACTGTCAATCAGTTCAGGGAGCACAGGTGAGATCTCCTGGGAGTGAGGATTCTTTTTAGAGTATGATACATTGTGCTACTAAAGCTACATGAGACTCTGCTACTTGCAGAACAGACAAGCAAATTATTCGTTATTAAAACTTGTGATTTGTTTGCTAACCTTAAAGGGAAATGTTCCCGATAACAGCAACAAAGGATGTTAAACGTGTACAGATAATAAAGGTGAACTGAATTTCACTTGCTCCTAATTACCGTGGGCAGAGTAAAGCTATCTTATTAAGAAAATACAAGATTATATCCCAGCTAATGAAAATGCTTTACACTAAGACAACTTAGAAATACGTGCTAAAAATGTGCATGGTCAGTCTGCAAAATGGAAATGAACACTTATACGACGAAGAAATTATTAAAGATGATATAACAGGAAGCTCATCCTTGAAGAACCATTGGTTTTAGATCCCTCTAAAAGGAATGTTCCTGCATAGGGTTGGAATTCTAGTGCCAGATAGAAGCACTGTGACAGTAATTATACTTAGTGAGGGCTTATCATGAGCTGGGTGTTGTTTTATGTCTTCAACATACTCCTACCGCACGGAAGGGCCATTCTATTATCTGTCCAAGTTTATAGGTAATAAACTTGAGGCATAAAGAAGGCAGGTAACTTGCCAAAGTCACTCAGCCAGGATGTGGCTCCAAGACCTGTGCTCTTCCTTATATCAAGCACAGCACCCCACATTTGGAGGTACTTTCTATGGGCTGCAAGTGAATTATCTGAATCAAGATGGATTTATTTTGCAAGGTGTGGTGTCATTTAATGACCCCCGCCCCCTACCCGCCAGCTCCCAGGAAACCTGCCCCTCAGACCCGTATGGGGAAAATACTGTCATCCTGTCCTGACCTCAGGCTGAGATGAATGACCTTCAAGTAACCAGAGCCAAAGGAACTTGTGGGACCCATGGGTACAACAGACAAGAGCTAGAATGTCCCCTCTGTCCCCAGCTCCTCTCTGAAGGTACCAGAGGAGGGTAAGTGCTAATTTTCTGCCATTTCTAAACCTCCCCTCTCCACCCAATCCATGGATAAGCAAATACCAAAATCCCCCTTGACTCTGCACCTTGTCCAGGCCCCCTGACACCTCTGAGATCTGTGGCTTGAACTATTGTTCCTTAACTGCTTGGGATTTGTTACAGAAACATTCTTCCTCTTTCAGTTGGTCCAGAAATCACGGTTTTCCTGAGCCACTGTGGCCTAGACTTTCATCTCGGTACCCAGGGCTGAAATTCCCCAAGGACTTCTGCTGGCATTGGTCATCCTAAAGGGGCCGGAACCAAGAATGCAGATCTTCTTTGTGTCTACAGGCCTCACTCCTGCTGGGCATGTTTCTCTGAAAACAGAATCTTCCTTCTTTAAAATCTTCCTCTTATGTCCTGCAATGAAGAAGCAGTTTCTAAACTGAGAAGCCAGTGGCTCAAGAGCTCCACCGTGAGGAAGCCAAGAAAAACTCATCTTCAGGAGCAGGTGCCACCGGTGGAGTGCCCAAGGTGGGAGATGGGGACCTGGCAGCGGTGGGGCACCCAGGTCACGGCCCTGGCCTGATTGGAAAGGGAGAGACTTGACACAGTGTCTCCTTCTGCCCACAAATTGCTTTCCTCGACCCAGGGAAGGCAGGAGGCCACACCAGACTCCCCTGGCTGGCTTTCTCCTGCCTCCATGCCAGGCACATTGGGGACAAATGACTCTGAACTCATTTGTTGCAGCTGGAAAGTTGCTGAAACTGTTCTTCCCTTTCTGAGAATTAGGTTGAATTGGCTTTACTAAATTCTCCCATCAACCCTGCCCACCAAATCCCCACCCAGACTGCAAGGCCAGCATTGACTGCCAGCTGCTAACAGGATGCCACAGTCCCTCTGCTGGCTTCTCCTGTAGCTGCCTGCTCTCCCTGCCCCCTCCCCAGACTGCTGCCCATCAGTGGCACCAACATCTTGACTAGAGGATTCTGAGAAAAGTTTTTTATGAGCTTTGACATCAATTGGAACGGACACAGAATGCTAACTCTATCTGTATCATTTTAGGAGTAGATAGTCTCTGAAACTCACCTTGAAAATGAGGGCAAAATTTTATTGACTTTAATGTGTGTCTGCCCTTCTACAAGGTAGACAGTATGTCTTGTCTTTTTCATGATTTTATCTCTAGCACCGCCATGGTACCTGGCATGTAAGAGACCTCTATAAAATTTGAAGGGAAAAGATATCTTCCCAATAGAATTGTTAGGAGAGTAAATGAAATGACATATATAAAGCACATAGGTCACACGTGGCCTGTAAATAATGGTTTCTAGCTACTCAGTTATTTTGATAAGATAATAGGTTTCATGATGCAAAATAATTCTGTCACCCATCCAATCATTGAATACTTATTGAGCATCTGCTACATGTTGCACAGGACAACACAAGTATATTTTGCTATTTTTTTAAAGTACTGGAGATCAAACCTAGGACCTTATGCATGCCAGACCAGTTTCTAACAATGAGCCATGTCCCCAGCCCAGGGTGAAGAATACGGTCCCTACCTTCAAGTGGCTCAACCACAACTTCAGGACATAGTGTGCCAAGATGGCCATAAGTATAGAGAGCCATGAGCATACACAGACTAGCCAGTGAAGAAGGCAGGAGCAGTGGAAAAGAACATTCTATATGATACTCTTGTGCCCATTGATAAGGATGAGTCTCTGGAGATGAGAAGATCACACAAAGGAGACATGCTTGGAATAGCTTTTTTTTTTTTTTTTAACTAGTCTATTTGTTCAGAGAGGAAAAGGCTGATTATAGCTGGCTGTTGCCTTCAGCTGGCCAGACTCTGTCTCAAAAGAACTGTGTGAAGGGCTATGGGAGCCTTGAGATTTTAGGTTCCAAACCAAGAGACCAAAACCAACAGATGGCAGGAATGAGAGGCAGGCGCTGCCTTACCGTCTGGAACTTACACAAATTGTAGTAAGCATATCTTTGTTGGCCACCACTTTATTACCCTGGGTTCTGGGCAGGACTTCTCAGGAAACTCTTCCAAACTCCTTAGGCAGCTCTGAACATTCTAGACAGGCGATCACATAGTGTGGCCCACAGTTAACACTTACTACATGCAATCACTGTCAGCATATGCCATTCTGAGTTCCATCTGTACTACTGCTAATATTCTAAATTACTTTTTTATTTAAAGAAATGTTTTCAAAGGATATCTATTTCCCAATTTTGATTTGAGAGCAGGTGAAAATTGCCCTTGCAATACGGATGTCTTTACACATTTTTGCCACTCTGGTCAGGCTCCAGCAGACAGCGCGCCCCTCCACTCCTTCTACAGAGTGAAGCTCAGACGATTGCCAGCGTGCTGTGGGGCAGGACCTCAAGTGATGCAGATGAAACTAAACTGGCACCTGCAATGGAGTGTGTTACAGGCTGTGCAGGTCAAGGGGATCATATCTCTCGAAGATCTTCTTGAGTACCACCAGAAGTAGGAATAGAAATTTGGGTTAGTCAGTGAACAGATGATGAGATTTAGAGCCTTGACACCTTGATTGGAGAGCTGCTGCTAACATCTGCTAGCTCTGGGGCCTTGGACAAGAAAATGGACTTCTCTGAGCCTCAAGTCTTATGACAGCAATTCCTCATAAAATAAGTGAACCAACAAAATGACTGGCATGACAGGACTGCAGAAGCACTTTGTAAACTCTTCAATTTTCACAAATACCAATTTTATTGAGAATTAAATTTTCAAGACACATGAAGTTGGACATTATCATTGATGAGGGGCTATCATGATCATGGTCAATGTCTTGACCAGTGCTCAATTAAGTAAGCAACTGAAGGATGCCTCTTTCCCCTTTTTCCTGTGTATAAACAACCTGGATGGATGAACAGAAGGCAGGTGTGGTTGTGAGAGCTGGCACAGGATGCAGAAAGCCCAGATGTACGATGAGGGCTATCCTGCCATAAACATGTCCTCTAGAAAGGTCATGGAAAACCTAGACAGCTGGATGATGGTTCTTCTCTGCCCCTCCTGCCACACCTCAACTCAGCAGGTTTGAAAAGACCAGTACCCTCCCAACTACCACCACCTCAACATCGTCCCCACAGTGTTCCATATTGGCCCCATTCTTGACCCACCCCCACATGTCTTCTGCCACCCAAATCCTTGCCCTGTGCCTTTGATGACCCCTGCTCCAAAATCAGTCCATTCTGTCCCTCTTCTGCCTCTGTTATTGGAAAGTACTTTGCTCTGGGAACTTTATTTCCCACGCAGTCCTCCTAAGAGATTTTTTATTTTCTCACATGCCTATGGACTCCCAGGTCTATGATGGAAAGTAGGGCTGGATTCTCAGTGCCACCTCTGGACCATGAGTACCCCATTCTTTTGTAACAAATATGTTTGAGAATCACAACTCATCTCTATACCCCTCTCCTCCTCCTCCTGACAATACCCCTCATTCAGTGAAGACCTAAACATCCGGCTGCAGAAACATTCTTATTCAAAAAGGACATACACTTAATAATGTAGCAATGATAGTTTATTTTAACATTCTAAACCAAAAATTAACAACAACTTTCTTTGAAAAAAATACGAATTCTGTACATGTGGGGTTGGTTTAAGTGACCATAATATATTTTACCAAAAAACAAATTGTTATAGCCCATCTTATAAAGATTTCTATATAGAGAGTAGATGCTAAATAATTTTGCTGAATGATCTATTTTAAAAAATATACATATAGTTGTAAAATAGTTAAGTTCATAAATTAAGAATACTGTGAATTTACTTAACTGTACAAAAGAATCATTCTCTGATCTTCCACTTTTATATATATTTTCTTTTACAGAATTCAATGATTAAATCCTCTCTCCTAAGGTCCTAAGAATATTCTTCAAACCTACAGCAGTTTACAAATGAGCAGACCACTTAAAGGGAAATGATGAAAAAAGGATTTCATTTCTGTGCTACTCATTCAGAATCTGCTGAGTTGGCCACCCATTCACTCAACCTGGTTTGAAATCTTAATACTTGAATATAGGTCTGATTTGGCTTTCATGCAGCCCATCAGCATTCATGACATTTAGCTCTTAGCTTAAGCTGTACAAAGGAAATCTGGAAATTCTATGACAGTGATGTTATCATACTTAAATGCAATATGCAAAATTCTGAAAATTAAATAACTTATTTTTTAAAATATACATACAACAATCTTTTTTTCAGTAATCACTTTTTCCATATACAAATGAAAAAATGGCAAAAGAAGCAGAATAATCTGGATATTCCAAAATAAAATGACTATAAAATTTTTATTTAATAAAACATGGTTGAGGTACACTTTTATTGTATAAGTAATTGTTAATTATTGTATATAATTGGACACCAAAATCCAGCCCTGTCTGAAAGCACTGGGTCAAACTGTCTTTTTAAGTCCTTCCAGGCCATGATTCTTCATGCTGCAATAAAATATTTTTTAATAAGTGCAATTTATCATAGAACTATGTATGCACTTTTATGCTCCTAAATATAATAAACTTAATTGTAACTACCTCATACATGATTTAAATATATGTGTTATGAAGAGAAACAGTATAAACATACTCAATTTTTTCTTGTGAGATATTAAAAAGGGATTTCATGTCATGATTCTGAAAAACCTAAGAACAAAAGTACTGAACATAATAAATAAATATGCAACCTAGAGGCATTAAAAATGGTCTAAAATACTGAATGTAACAAAATCCAGTGTATTAAAGTTCAGTATTTTAGTATTAAGCATTCTTCCCCAAATGCAGTTACATAAGCTTCACATTAAGGCACCTGTCATTCCCTATAAGAAAGATCTGGATTCAAATAAAGGCAAAATGCACTATAAAACTTTTATTCTTTCATTCTGATACCTTTATATATTACCAGCTTTAAATAATTTTGAACAGTGTAACTTATCATAGATATATAAATATCTTTGAATATAATATTTGAATATAGTTCAAATGGTTCCCAGTGGTTTTTTGAGATTCTAATTAAAGTCTGTCTATATATTAATACTGTGATACTATGTGACATATTAATTAACAAGGAAATAGGTAAAAATCAAATCAAGATGGATGGAAAAGAACCAAATTTAAGAGATGTGACAACCTCTAAAAAAATTATACCGTAGGGACAGTGACTATGAGATCTTGATCAACTTTTTTGAGATTCACTCTCTCCATCTGTAATGTTTCAATAATAGCTCCCTATCAAGCTTAGAAAGCTTTTGTGTGATCAAATGAGATGATGTAAAAATAAAAACACTTGGCAAACTGGGAATAAATAGAATTATGATAATCAGAACATCTCAAGTTTGATATTCTAATAATAAAAGTTATGACCTTCATTCATCACTTGAGAACTCCAGTTTTGATCAATTAGTTGATGAACAGAAGCAAAAACTTATACAGAGAGGAAATCTCTCAATTTTAGCTTCCAGAATTTTATAAAGTACACTTGGCTGTGAATAGGAAGCTACCTCTGGACACTTTCTAAAACTGAAGAAGGGGCAGACTGCCCAGACACCTTGGCTCTTGGTCTTTACTCTGTTTCCATTAAAGAGACTTCCATCTCCCTCACCATCTGTTATCATGCAAGATACATAGTTTCATTGAAAGACACTTTCCTTTAATAGCATAGAAAAATTTTAAGGATATTAAGAAAACAGCTGGAATCAGTCTTGGATACCTCCTCAGCTTGATACAAATAACGAAAGGATTCAATAATATCTATCAAATTTTCCCTTTGTTAGTCCATTTCCTGTATGTAGAAGTGATTCTAGGCCAGCTTTTCCCAGTGTATGTTCTGAGGAACACTAGGTGAGGGGGCATATTAATAGGTGAAAAACAGATCTGTGTTGGGTATGTTTGAAATATACAAGGAGAGATTAGTGTCTGGACTGTAGACTTTCTCAGTCTTTGAAGTCTCACATATACATTCTAAAGAAAGATGGAGAGTACCACATTTCCCAAATTCATCTGACCTCCAAATCCCTTTTACTCACACACACACACACACACACACACACACACACACACACACACACACACACAAAATAATCTAGAGGGGCTAATAGCTCTGGGAATATTCTTTGGGAAATGCTATTCAAGCCAATTCATCCTGGTTCTAAACATTCCAGGGCTAAATCTGGCAACAGTTACCATTTTATTTCTGAAGTAGAAGAATCATTTTGCTTTCAAGGTCAACTACCATGATAACCTCCTAGATTCTACTCTATGAGTACCCCTTCCAAAGCAACTAAGAACTAAATTTCCTTTCTACTGAGAAATTCAATGAAGTTATTCTCATGTAGATAATTATGTCTTTCTAAGGAAATTCTTATATTATTCTCCCAAACATTAAAAATAGGGCTCTAATTATTTCTAGATCTTAGGACCCAGAATCGTAACTATTTGAAAGAGAGGACATTTTATCATAATATCACTCCAATTAACCCTACCTAATAAAGATAATGGTGGTAGTGTTAACTAAGCACTTGATCCTCATATTACTCTATTATTATACCTATTTAAAAGATAAGTACTCTGAGGTTTACAGAGATTAACTGATCTGCCAAGAGTCACACAAAGGAGTAAGGGCAGAACCTCAAACCCATATCTGACCCTTCACCCCAAACTCTTAACCACGAAATAATGCCATAATATATTCTAGTAACAAAAACAAAAAAGCAATTCCTATTGTACAGGAAAATTGGAGTGTATTTATATAAATTCAATGTAAAATTAAAATTTGGTTTTAGATTTCCCTTTGATCAAATTCCCATTTCTTTAAAGTAAATATGTTAAGTTTTTTTTAAGTAGAGAAAAATAGACTATTATTTACCAATGAAGGCTACAGGGTCTTTAAATAGGAGAAGGTTTTAAAAATCTGCATCCAAAGTGAAGACGTTATCTGTGGTTTCTGCCATAACGGCAAAACGCTGATACTCTGAAACTCGTTTCTCAAAGAAATTTGTTTTCCCTTCTAAAGAAATGTTTTCCATAAAATCAAAGGGATTTTCTGCCTGAAAAATCTGAAAAGAAAAGACACATTATTAGATATTCTGAAGAAGCCAAATAAATGATATCCTACAACAATGGCAAAAATGACAATCAATCAATAAATTTTATTTTATTTTATTTTTCTCTCTGGAGATCCTTTTTTTTTTTTCTTTTGGTGCTAGTTCAAACCCAGGGTCTCATGCATGCTGAGTATCTGCTCTATCACTGAGCTACAACCCTAGCACACGCCAGTATTTCCTTTTTTTTTTTTTTTCCAGTTTGAGTATATTTTGTTTATTTATTTATTTATAATGTATTGGTTCTTTTTAGTTATACATGAATAATAAATAGAATCCATTTGAGCTTAGATTTCCCAACACCTTTCTAGTCACCTACAGGGTCATATTGTTCTCCTAAAGTCCTGGAGGCACTGAAATATGACCTAGTCAACAATCAAGCTTGACAAATTTTCATATGAGTGACGTCACTTACTAACCTCCTCCAAGAATACCTTTTGTATTCTAATAAACAGGAAATATTTCAGGAAATGAAATATCTAATACTAACCCAAAGCAATGTTCTCATGGCTTGCATAGAAACTACAGGCATTTTTTCATAAGACTTACAATCAGGTAGTCATCTATTCACAATCTACAAAATATTAAATTATCAACAATGTCCTGAGCTCTTAAGTATGCTTCTTAGTTTATAACAGAATACATAATTTCAAATTGACTTTAACAGGTCATAATCGGGAAAGATAAAATTAACTCTATCCAGAGTGACTAGATATCTGCAAACAAAGTCCATTTCCTGTATGTAGAAATGATTCTAGGCCAGCTTTTCCCAGTATATGTTCTGAGGAACACTAGGTGAGGGGGGATACATGCTGGACATATGCTGGACACATGCTGACAAGAAGTTTTTTCACTACTGAATTAAAGAAGAAGGGCTGGAAATACAGCTCATTGGAAACATTTCAGTGATTCACAAGGTACAATAAAAAAGGATTTCTGAGTTTAGAAGTATGCAAGCAGGAATTACAAACATCACAGATGAGAATAGATTCAAATAATCCAATTTTTTTAATGGATAAAGGATCTGAATAAACACATAGACATTTCTTCAGAGAAATTATACAAAAGGCCAATAAACACATGAAAAAATATTCAACATCACTATCCATTAGGGAAATGTAAATCAAGACCCCAATGCTAGAATAAGACAGATAACAACTGTGGGTGAGGAGGTGGAGAAATGGGAACCCTTGTATACGAGTGGGGATGTAAAATTGTGCAACCACTTTGGGAAACAGGCAGTTCTTCTTATGATTAAACATGGAGTTACTGTATGATACAGCATTCTCAGCCCTAGGTATATATTCCAGAGAAATGAAAATATATGTCACAGCAGCATTATTCATGATAGCAAAAAGTAGAAGTAACTCAACTGTTTATCAACTGATGAATGAACAAATAAAAATTCCATATAGTCATATAATAGAATACCATTTGGTCATAAGGAGTAAATAAGAATTGATGCATGCTACATTGTGAATGAATCTACTAAGGAAAGAAAAGAATTACAAAAGTCATGCATTTAACAATTCATTTATATGAAATTGAATACACAGAAGAGTCAAATTTATAGACAGAAATTAGATTAGAGATTGCCTAGGAGTGGAAGGGATGAGGGGAAAGAGGGGGTGGCTGACTGTTAATAGGGTAAACTTTTTTCTGATATTATTTTTTTTATTGATTGTTCGAAACATTACAAAGCTCATGATATATCATCTTTCATACATTTGACTCAATTGGGTTATGAACTCCCATTTTTACCCCAAATACAAATTGCAGAATCACATCAGTTACACACTCACATTTTTACATAATGGCATATTAGTGACTGTTGTATTCTGCTACCTTTCCTATCCCCTA